AATGGGGTCCTACTTGGGGGTGACAAGGATTTAACTGATGCCACAATGAGGTCCTACTTGGGGGTGACAAGGAGTTGAGGGGCTGATGCCACAGCTGGGTCCTGTCGAGGGGTGACGAGGAGTTGGGGGGCTGATGCCACAAAGGAGTTGGGGGGCTGATGCCACAGTCAGGACCTATTGAGGGGTGTCAAGGAGTTGGGGGGCTGATGCCACCGTTGGGACCTGTTGAGGGGTGTCAAGGAGTTGAGGGGCTGATGCCACAATGGGGTCCTACTTGGGGGTGACAAGGAGTTGGGGGGCTGATGCCACAGTCAGGACCTATTGAGGGGTGACAAAGGAGTTGGGGGGCTGATGCTACAGCTGGGTCCTGTTGAGGGGTGTCAAGAAGTTGGGGGGCTGATACCACAATGAGGTCCTACTTGGGGGTGACAAGGAGTTGGGGGGCTGATGCCACCATCAGGACCTGTCGAGGGGTGACAGTAGGGGTTGGGGAGGTGGGGAAGGAGAGGTGTCCTCCATCCAACCTCCCTCCTGGGACCCCTCCACCCATTTCGGGGGGCAGGGGGGAGGAGCCCACCCCCCAAGTCCCCACCGTTGAGCTCTTTGCTCTGGTCCATCCCCCAGGTGGGTGAACTCCCTGCAGCCGGCGCGGGTGACGCGGTGGGGCGGGATGATCTCCACGCCGGACGCGGTGCTTCAGGCCGTCATCAAACGCTCCTTGGTGGAGAGCGGTTGTCCCACCTCCATCATCAACGAGCTGATCGAGAACGCCCACGAGAGGAACTGGCCCCAGGGTTTGGCCACCTTGGAGACGCGGCAGATGAACCGCCGGTACTACGAGAACTATGTGGCCAAACGCATCCCCGGGAAGCAGGCCGTGGTGGTCATGGCCTGTGAGAACCAGCACATGGGGGAGGACATGGTGCTGGAGCCAGGACTGGTCATGATCTTCGCACACGGAGTGGAGGAAATCTAAAGGACATGGGGGTTGTGGGGTTTTTTTTTGGGGGGGGGGGGGAGGCTTCGGCACTTGCCCAGCTTTGAACGTGTGATTTCAATTAAGCACATAGGGGGGAGGCGGGAAGGTGCGGAGGTGGAACCTCTCAAAAGTGCTGGGGGTTCCTGGTCACCAACGTGGGCTTGGAAGAGGTTCCTGGTCCCCAACACAGTTTTTGGAGGGATCTCCATCCCCAACATGGTTTTCAAAGGGGTTCCCTGGTCCCCAACATGGTTTTTGAAGGGGTCTCCATCCCCAACATGGTCTTGTAAGGGGTTCCCTGGTTTTTGAAGGGGTCCCTGTCCCCAACACAGTTTTTGAAGGGATCTCCAACCCCAACACAGTTTTTGAAGGGGTTCCCATCCCCAACACGGTCTTCTAAGAGGTTCCCTGGTCCCCAACATGGTTTTTGAAGGGGTCTCCATCCCCAACACGGTTTTTGAAGGGGTTCCCTGGTCCCCAACATGGTCTTGTAAGGGGTTCCCTGGTTTTTGAAGGGGTTCCCTGGTCCCCAACATGGTTTTTGAAGGGGTCCCTGTCCTCAACACGGTTTTTGAAGGGGTTCCCATCCCCAACATGGTCTTGTAAGAGGTTCACTGGTCCCCAACACGGTTTTTGAAAGGGTTCCCTGGTCACCAACATGGTTTTTGAAGGGGTCCTTGTCCCCAACATGGTTTTTGAAGGGGTCCCTGTCCCCAACACAGTTTTTGAAGGGGGTCCCCATCCCCAACATGGTTTTTGAAGGGGTTCCCATCCCCAACATGGTCTTGTAAGAGGTTCCTTGGTCCCCAACACAGTTTTTGGAGGGATCTCCACCCCCAACATGGTTTTTGAAGGGGTCCCCATCCCCAACATGGTCTTGTAAGAGGTTCCTCGGTTCCCAACACGGTTTTTGAAGGGGTTCCCATCCCCAACATGGTCTTGTAAGGGATTCTCTGGTCCCCAACACAGTTTTTGAAGGGGTCTCCATCCCCAACATGGTCTTGTAAGAGGTTCCTTGGTCCCCAACACAGTTTTTGGAGGGATCTCCATCCCCAACACGGTTTTTGAAGGGGTTCCTTGGTCACCAACGTGGTTTTTGAAGGGGTCCCAGTCCCCAACCTGTCCCCAACATGGTTTTTGAAGGGTTCCCTGTCCCCAACACGGTTTTTGAAGGGGTTCCCCATCCCCAACATGGTTTTTGAAGGGGTTCCTTGGTCACCAACGTGGTTTTTGAAGGGGGTCTCCAACCCCAACATGGTTTTTGAAGGGTTCCCTGTCCCCAACACGGTTTTTGAAGGGGTTCCCCATCCCCAACATGGTTTCAAGGGCACCTCTCGCTCCCCCAACGATGAAACGCCTCTGGTGGATCCAACCCAACCCCCCCAGCCCCACAACAAGCCCACGCTGACCCCCCCCCTGCTCCCCCCTTCCCATCAGCTTCCCCCCTTCTGTGTCTTCAAGGAGAGAAGGCGCCCCCC